TGCATGCCCGGGGCCGGCGCCACTCCTGTGCCGCGCGCCCAGGAGCCAGCAGCGCCCATGTGCTGCGTGCTTGGGGCCAGCGCTGCTTCTGTGCCACGTGCCCGGGGCGGGGAAGCCCATACACTGCACTCTCGGGCACAGCCCATGCACCGTGAACCCGGGAGCAGGGCTGACCAGGTGCTGCTTGCCAGGGACAGGCGCCGCCCCTGGGCTGTGTGCCTAAGGGCAGGGCCGGCCCCGATCAGTCAGCGGGCGCACAGAAATGGCCCGGCGGGCGCCATGACACCCGCGGGCACTGCGTTGGGGACCACTGGTCTAGACAGTATTTGGTCCTGCCATAGGGACAGGGGACTGGACTCGATGACCTCTCGAGGTCCCTTCCAGTCCTAGTATTCTATGATACTTCAGGGTATACAGTGAAGGAACCAAGTCTGGAAAGCAACGTTGGAATTATATTTTTAAAAAGTCATATACAGTCTTCAAAGCATGACTTTACAAATACAGTACTTACAAGAGAAAGCTTAGAGAGAACTGAAACCTGTATTTTAAAAAAATTAGCACAAACTATATGACCTATTCAGTCACTTCTAGTTGTATGTTCCTGAAATACCACAGCTGTTTTTCTGATAGGTCTCTTGTTTAGATCTTGAAATTATCTCTCAAATTAAAATGCAGCACGGTTGTGTTTTAATTCAAGCTTGGTATAATAGTATTTGGGTTGGTTTAATTTAGAGGGAACACTGGCAGGCAGGGAGGCTGATTCAGTAACGGCTGCTGGCTGGTAAGTCTTCTGGCAAGAGCCTGACTCTGGCACCCCAGCCCAATGTTCCCCACTCCTGACCCCTACTCCACATACCCAAATCCTCTGCCTCCCTCCTATACCCATATCCCCTCCCAGATCTGGCACCCCAATCCCCTGCCCTAGTCACAACCAAATCCCTGCACCCCCTCCTGTACCCCAATTTCCTGTCCAGGGTCACAAACCAACCCCCTGCATCTTAGTCCAGTGCCCCAGGTCACAACTGCTTCCTTCACCCAAACTCCCTCCCATATCCCAAGCTCCCTTCTGCATCCAACCTCCATCCCAGAATCCGCACCTCCTCCATTAATATCATGGAACAGTGCGGCCCTCAATCACTTTTCAAATTCATGGAGTGGCCCCTCCATCAAAAATTATTGCCCACCCCTACCCTACAGTATTTCCTTTAACACATGAAAGTAAAATGGGCTGAATACCTCTCAGGCTGACATTTGGTTGCAGACAGAACATGCAGATAAAGTTACTGGAATTTTTTCCTTTACCTTTGCAGGTTGCCTTTTGCTTTTTTTTGTTTTATTTGATTAAACATGCCAGTTCTCCTTTAATCATAAACAAAAATTCAGTTTTTCTCATACTCATGCATATTACTAGACCACAACACAATTAATCACAACTGGCTTTCCTTGCCTATGGAAGACAACAAAAGTTCTATGGTAGAGATCGTGTAGGTCAAGAATAGAGTGTACAGGTTGATTCTCTCTAGTCTAGCACCCTCAGGACCTGACTTGTGCCGAACCAGAGAATTTGCCAAACCATGGGAAGTAAAATATTGTCTAGCAGCATTACCAATATTTCCATTGCATACAAGGCTCTTAGAAGACATTTAGGGGAAAATTAGAGCTAAATAACAGCACAGAACACTGAAAGCCAGGACCAGTGGCTGTAAACAAACTTTATGGGACCATGAGAAATTTGGCCACCCCCATGAGAAGTGGATATCTGGCTAACTAAAATCATGTTGGACCGCGGATGTTGTGGCCAGACCAGAGTACAGGAGGCCCCCGACTTGCAACTCGACTGGTTCCTGGAGAAGCATTGCAAGTCGGGGGCATCATAACTTGAACCCTCATTGACAATAGGTGCTGTGGGCCATGGTAAATGCAGGCCGAGGACTTAAGTTGGGGGTTTTCAGTCCCTTCTGCACTTACAAAAATGGCTGTAAGTGCGAGGGGTCAGAACTCAGGCGACTTAGTCACAAGTTGGGGGCCACCTGTATGCTGGACTAGAGAGGTTTGACATGTATTGGCAAATCTTCAAGGAAGCTCACAAGAGGCCCACTACTTCTTTGTAATACATCAGTGTAAGCTCAGAGTAACTACTAAAATCTGTGGCATTGCACAGAATTTTTTTATACAAGGGTACCTGACAGCAAAATTTGACCTCACTTTTAAATGTTTGATTCTACTTATTATTCACATCTTCATATTTGAATTAATTAATTGAGTTACATTTAAAAGCCATTTAAGCATTTTAATAAGTACACTACTTTTGTATCTGAAAGGCTTGAGCGCTGTTTCCAGGGCTTTTCAAAAATGTGAACTTTTTTTGTTTCAGACTTCTAAGTAGTATTAGTATTTGTTCCAATGTTCTGATCTTTTGTATTTCTACAACATGCACTTTTATCAGAAGTCAAACTGGAAAAAAACCAAGAAGAATATCTTATCAATGAAAATAAAGATGTTGTATTCCAACAGACTCAGTATAAAGTGTTCGGTGTTTGAATCAGTGAAAGTTAGAACGCACTTCAAAAATCTTATTTAAAATCCATAAGTTGCATATAATTACTCAGGGGAAATAGGCTATTAGTGAAATGATTAACATAAGTTCAACATCAATAAGGAGCACTTAAAACTCAGATCTTCTGAAGCTTCTCCTCCACTAAAGAAAAGATCAACAACAAATTTTGTATTTACCTGTAGACTATCTAGGAGTGATTTTTTTTTTTTTAAAAGAGAAAATTCTACTTGAAATTCTATAAAGATGACCACTTTGTACCTTCTAATTAGTTCTTTTACAGGAACAAAGTTAGCAAAGGCATAACTAGATTTGATTAGCTACTATCTTTGTATGCATTTTACATAATTAATAGCATTTTAAAATTCTTGTAGTTTCTGTGCAATAGTACAAAGCCACAATAACTAGACTTCCTGTAAATAACTTACAAAGCAAATGAAGAAAATGATTATATCATGAACTATTTGCTTTTTACTGTTTGCTCTTCTACCACTCCCTCAATTTGAATATAGAATGTGAAGTCACCCAACAGCGGATTCAGAATAAGTCAGTAAAATATACGATCGAGCACAAAGAAACCAATATTCACTTCTTAACAGCTTAATTCTTGCCATCTTCTGCAACAAAAACAACACTCTCTTCCCCACCCCCTCAAAAAAACCCAGTTCACTCACCACTTGGATCATTGTACTAACAAGCAGAATCACAAGAGTTATCAGTTGTCTGTTTGTCTTTTATATACAGAACTTTAGAGGAAACTCTTATTACAGTATACTTTAAAGCAGAGAATCTATTGTGTGTATTTTCTGTATTTTTAAAAGTATATTGTAGGTATCAAAGTGCTTCTCTCTTACAACCTGCCTTTTTTGGCTTAATTATGAATTTATTAGTCATAATCCTTTGCTCGGAACAAGCAGTTGTCATGGAAATATTCATGGTGATGTCCTTGTCAAATTAATATTATGACTTCATTGCTAGCAGAATGAGAACACTGATAGTGTGTCTGGAAACTTATCTCAAATGGCAGAGAAACTTATGAAACTTACAACATTGTAAAAGTAAATATACAACCACAGATTTAAATATTTCCTGATGTTTTGTGTCACTTTAATAGGCTGAACTTAAAAAAGAATACTCTTAATAGCTAAAGATTATGGAAGAAAGCTTAGAGAAGAGTTTAATTTTCACATGGTGCTCAGAGGAACAAGATTTGATGGTCTTAATGTATCATGTGTAACACACCCACCCCAATGTTCTATTATCTGAAGTCCATGGTTCATATCTAAAATGAGATTAAAAATGCTACATAGCATTGTAGCAAATAAATACTACAAACTGAAGAATTGTATGCATAACTATAGGTGCATAAGACCAGGAGGAACTAGACTGCATTTATAAAAACATCACCTTAAATTTGGAGTATAAAACTTAAGGTCTTAGTACTTTAGCATGTTATCTAAAGAACAGCACACATCTAAAAATTAAATACAAGTCTCAAATTTATGTAGTCCCCTTTACATACAATAAGAGTAATGCACTGTAGCTTCAACTTTTTAGCTAGTCCTGATTTCATTTATAAAATAAGTGAACATTCTTGATTTCCTTCACTTTTTAAAGTTTTCCTTACTGGCAATCTTTGTCTACCATCCCTGATTCATTTCTTCCTGTTTCTGAACATTTTTTGTAGTTCTTCCTGCAGATAACAGAATCACGTAGCTCAGAAGCAGCCATGGGAGGAACACTGCAGCCAGTATAAAACAATTTTTTGCGGGTGGGGCATGATCGATTGCCTCATAGGGAATTCATGCATCATATTTTACTGTACACTGCTGGGATTTGTTTAGCTCTCTGATGTAATAAAACTAAGAGGCAAGGAGAGGCTCCTACAAAAGTATTCCCAGTTAGCCTGAGGTCAACTCTTTCAGAAGCATCGATGCCTGCAAAAAACAGGTGAAGAACTACAGAAGTTATTTGTTTTCCTGTTTAAACTCATCATATCCAAGGAGGGAGGGAATATAAATTTGAAAAAAAAAAAATTAACTGCACTTCATGCAAATAGCTATACTGAATATAGCAACAAAGTGTCCAGCTTGTGAAAGTGGAGTATGTGAAAACTGAGGTGAAATGCCCATTTCACGTAGTACCTAAAATACATGACACTTAGTACAATCTAGTGCATTCCAAAGACACATTTTGATCATCAGAAGTATTTTTTGAATAAATTTCTGGGAGGGGTAAATTAACAGTAGAAGGATCCTAGGAAGAGCAGTCACCCTAACTTACCCCTTCAGTAAATGGCTTCTACAAGTTGCCTCACCCAGCAACTCCGTGCAGTGACTCACTGTCCTTATTTGTTAAAATCTAATTAGTTCAGTGAGTCCCCAGCTGCCAAGGAAAAGTATCCTAAACTATAATTTAATGAAATGTGATTTACAGATTTACTTACCCAATTCTTTAGAAACAGGAGATACGGTTGCTATTTCTCCAATCTTTGCAACACCATCAAAATATGCTCTTCCAGCCAGTATCATAGCTATAGGGAAAACAATAAGAGTACTCAGCTTGTGTTGCACTTAACAATTGAGTACATTATGAATTACCATCTCTCTCCCAGCATTATGTCTCCAGGAAGGGTGGATGACATTTCAAAATTCCTGCATGGAGTTCATATAAGGTGCACAAACTTGCTTCTCTAACTTTTAGGAATTATTCCAGAGTATTCTCTGAACCCTGTCCTGTGCCTGTTGGGATCTATGGAAAGATTCCAACTTTAACAGAGAAGGGATCACACCTCAATATTAGTAAATTACATCTATTAATAGAGTATAGAATTCCCAAAAAGCATATAGTTGTGTGTAGTTTAAAAACAACCAAAAACACATCTCCTTTCTGTTTTACTTCAGATTCCTTTACCTCCTATTATGGAAAAATTATACATCATTGACTGGATTATTCAGCTTGAATTGAAATGGATTATAAATCTTATGTGTATGGTGTATTGCAGGTGATGGGCCTCATCACTTAGTAAATAAAAAAGCATGTTACTACACGGGAAATTTATTTTTAAAATCAGTAATGGGGCTCTAGAACGTCATGCTAGGAAAGAGAGACGTTTGAAAATATCATGGCAGATACCAAGAGAGTAAAGACAACTTTAACTTCTTCCTTGCAACTGCTAATGGGGAGGTAGTTTTAGAGGTCAAAAGTTATAACACTTGAAACTGCATGAGAGAAGGCATGGGGTATTCTAGGTTCAGAGTTTTTAAAGTACAAAATGAAGTTGTGAGTGGGGATGAAAGATCCGAGAGAAGCCATCTCCAGTACACACACACACTACTTTTAGATGTCATTTAATGTTTGGGTGTATTTTTTTTTTAGCAGGTAGAAATAAGAACTAGCAACTTGGGATCAGCAAGTTCTCTGTGGACCACAGTTTGAAACACTCTTGTAGAAGTGAGTTTAGTATGGTGTAAGAAAAGTGGTACTCCCTCACCCCCTATTTTTATATAATACTCTTCCATAGTAGGATCATGGAAAACCCCCTTGAGTCTTTAATTCTGGCATACTTAACACAAAGTAGAAGATTATTAAAATAAGTTCAATAATGAAAATCTCTTATTATGTGTACTCTAAGATAAATATGCAGGAAAAGTTTACAATATACTAAAGCGTGGTTAGAGACAATATTTAGTCTAAAGATTGCCATAGACCAGTGTTTCTCAACTTTTTTTTTTATAAAGTACTCCTTTAAAAAAATAATATAAGTACCCCCAGTAACTACAGTTTTCAGATGCACAACATTTTTTTCTACCATTGCAACACATTTGTTTAAATAACTTAATTGTAGCTGGGCAAGCGATGACATTTTTGGGTGTAAAAAGTACAAAAACAATAAAGCGCAGTTTTCTCCAAATTTCAGTTGTATTGATGTACCCCCCAGACTTCTCTCCAGTACCCCTAAGGGTACTTGTACCACTAGTTGAGAAACACTGCCATAGATTGAGTATCAGAGGGGTAGCCGTGTTAATCTGAATCTGCAAAAGTGGCGAGGAGTCCTGTGGCACCTTATAGACTAACCAAAGTGTTGGAACATAAGCTTTTGTGGGCAAAGTCCCACTTCGTCAGATGGATGTCATATGCCATGTCATATGACATAGATTGTACTTGTGTTACTGTTCTACTTCAATGGGCTATGCATGGCTAAAAGGTGAGCGTGGCAAATTCACAGTATTCCCAATACGTAACTATTTTTGGCCTTTCCAGGTCTACATAAATCTAAAAAACAAAAGTGAGAGAAAGAATGGAAGGAGATAAATTGAAAACATCTTTCTGTAACTTCTCAATGTTTTAGAAAGACTTCAAAAATTATAATAAAAAGGAGGGAAAAGTCCTTTTAATCACTTAAGTGAAGAGCAGTTACATAAATTCAAGCATCACTTGTGAGATTCAACGGAAAAACTCAACCATCACTATCAGAAAAACGTTCAAACTGTATTAGCTGTAAATACATAACATTCATAGGGAAACAAAAGATCAACATAAAGTAAATGATCCGTAAACACAGTGGCCAATAATAGTTTTCTTAATGACAATTTATAATATTACGGTGCAATATTTCTGAAGATGACACAAACTAGTCTAATTGGAACACTTCTTCCATGGCTACAGAAGGCCCTAGATCAGTGGTGCGCAACCGTTTTTCCATTCACAACCCCCACGGGGGCCACTGAATTTGGTGGAGCAAAAAATAAAATTAAATTAAAAAAAGGAAGCAGCCCCTTTAATTATCAGGCCACGGCCACTCTCCTGCCACTTTCCCCACCCCCGCCACATGTGTGTCAGACGTCGAGCCAAGTAGCCAGGAAAAGCAGCCGGACGGATCCAAGCACTGTGATCCCCCCACGGGTTGCACACCACTGCCCTAGATGAGTGTAGCTCAGTTGTAGAAGCTTGATTTAGGGAAATGTTCAAGAAAGCTGCAATCCTCTGAGTGCCCAAGTATTAGAGAAAAACTGATATGGGTTTCCAACAGCCAGTGATCCCCATGAAGTGGCATCACAAGAGTGACCAGGTGCGAGGAAGTATTACGTCTCATCTTACCCTCAAGAACTGCCCTATAACAAAGCCTGGCTACCCAGAGTTGGTATTTACGAAGAGAGAATAAAACACATTTACCTTAAACAAAGTTATGTGAATTATTTCAGGGACCTACATCGCTGTGACAGACTAGCAAGATCAATATGTTGATTCACAAAAACAGATGACTGTAAAAGCAAGGCACTCTTCTTAAAAGAACTAATTTCATATAATTTAAATCAATGCCACAAGAGAGCTATATAATTGCCTATAGTAAGTGAACATGAATTACAAACCACCAGCGTAAAATGTTTACCATTTCACTGCTAGTTAGTATGTCTGAGGCATCTAGATAATGATGTATTCATCAAGGGTAGCTGAACCAAGCTCATCCATCCTAAACATTTGATTCATTTGAGGAGGTTCCATAGATATAATTGCACATTTTTAATAGATAAATAATAAAATACACCATCAGATACTCTTCTGTAATTTGTACTCAAAGGACTTTAATCAAATAGTTCTCTAAGTAGGATTTTCATGGAAAGTCCATTGTTATACAGACTATACGAGACCCTTGTGATTCAAGGAATCGCTATTCGTGATTCCACGTATTTTGGGGGGTCTTCTGTCCTGGTCTGCCAGGAGAACTCACTGATGCAGGGGCAGAAAGCCACAGGTCCCAATATTTGTGAATTTTGCCATTCATGGTGGTGCCAGGAACACATCCACCATGAATGGTACCCTTAACTTCCAACAGCATTGGCTACCATTATTAATGATGAGTGTCGTTTTGATATTCCCTAGGGTACATGCTGAACTGTAGGGATATGTCTACACTGCACGGCTATTTTGAAATAAGCTATTCCGGAATAGTTATTCCAAAATACAGTAATTCCTCATTTAACACTATAGATGTATTTCTGAAAATGTTCGTGCTAAGTGAAAACGTGCTATGCGGGGTCAATTTTCCCATTAACAATCATGGAAAAGGTGGGAGTTGCATTTCAGGTGATGGTGGCAAAGTCAATTTTTTGTTGGTGCTCAGTCAAACATCAACATTAGTTATCTAACAACACAAGATCTCTAGCAACAAAAGTTGCTGCGGTTTGTTAAAATACAAAGATAAACATGTCAGTGAGTGGAGGAGCGCAGTTACCACGGTTTTCACCAACTTATACCACTGCATGAAGCAGTCCGCCACTTGATTATTTTCGTGTTATTTCAGGGACGGTCGTGTTATTTAAAAAACGTTCCCTAAAAAAAAAAATTGTGCTATTGCGAAAACATGCTAAGCGGGCACGTGTTAAATGAGTAATTACTGTAGCTTATTTCGAAATAGCATATCTACACTGCAGGGAAGCCTCAAAATTAGTTGAAGCAGGCTTCCCTAATGTAGATGTGCTCTCTCAGTTTAGAGCCCCAGGAGACACTGGAGAGGAATAACTTAAAATGACCCTAGTGAAGGCCTATTTTGAAATAGCAGCAGTGGAGCATCTACACATACCTTATTTCAAAATAGCTATTTCGGAATAGGCGTTATTCCTTATAGAATGAGGTTTACAGATTTCAGAATAACCTGCCATTATTTCAAAATTATTTTGAAATAATGGAATGGCTATGTAGATGCTCGCATTGTTGTTTTGAAATAATGCTAGTTATCTCGAAATAATGGTGCAGTGTAGACACACCCTCGGACGGCTGTGTTCCTTCAGTTCTCCAACCTGTGATGCCTTTTATGCTGCTTTACTGTGAGAGCAACCACTCCTGGCCTTTATACACACAGCCTCCAGCACGTAAATTAGCTGTAGATACACTGCAAGACTGCTTCAGCCAACTACCCTTGAATTATACTGCAGAGTGACACCAGCAAATTTGCAGTCCCAGACTTTGCCCCAGAAATGTGCATCTTGTGCTGCCCAGGTTTTGCCTTCTGAACAATACAAGCTTATATAAAATGTTATGCACAAATCCTGTTATTTCAAATGAAGTTTCCCTTCACTTCACTTCTATTTCACTTCAAATACAGACTGATTTAGAGAAAACAAGCTTATGAACAACAGAAAGATTCTAAGTGATTATAAGAAATGAGGCATATATTATGAAGAAACAAAGTAAAATACAAATACTTAACTTAATAAGCAAAATTAATTAAAAACAAAAGTCTCACCACATGTTCTTCTGCAGTTTTACTGGCCAGATGCCAAGGGCAGAATTTCAGGTAGGTAGGGGGGGCAGCAGCTGTGAGTTCTAGGACATGACTTGCTTTTCATTCTGTGCCCCAGCTGCTAAGGGAGTGAGGGGAAAGTACTTGCATTCCATGCATGCCTCTTGCACCTGGCTGTTGAGCTCCTTCACCAGGGCCAGGTGCGAGAGGCATGCACGGAATGCAAGTACTTTCCTCTCACTCAGTAAGCGTCCAGGGCACAGGATGAAAAGCAAGCCGTGTCCTGGAGT